GAGAGAACTCATGAAACAATGCAGCTTTGAAAACTTTCGAAAGCAACTTCACCATCGTGTGCAAAAATGCCTATGAAAAAAGATTCCTTTCCAGGTTTTAAGAGTTTTGATCTGCACTTAAAGGCAGACTCTTGATGAGTCAGCAAGAAGTTCGTTGGTATTGGAGTTACAAATAGAAGTGTACGTGGCAATTGACTCGCTCGTATATAAAGAAGTTCTGAACAGCTGAACAGTCGAAACCGCTCGGAATTAGGCTTTCCCCGTGCTAAGCGAGACAAAAATCGATGTGGTTCCCGGCTGAGAGGCCAGAAAAGAGCGACGAGAGAGCGCGCAATCAAGTAAGACACCCGATAAGACATCTGTCACCATGGGCGGAGTCACTGACTTTTTGGCGGAGTCACTTGTGCAACCTTGTGCCTTACCGCCGCTACCTTACAACTTTCTGACGCAAAACTTGTACAGGGTTGTTCGTTCCGGTTCCCATTAACTTCCCTTCAAGTAGCTCAGATGCTATTAGGTGAGGCCTCGTCTTCGAAGAATGTCTCGCGATTGCGACTGGGGTCCAACAGTTTAGTTCATGGATGTAAATGGACCTTTAATTGGACTAATAAAAAAAGAGTGAATAGGACCGTGGAGACGCCCTGAGTGTGGTCTCAGAATTGGGTGGGTATTCGAGGAAGCGAGACACTGCTGCTCGGGAGAGAGACCAGAGACATAATCGCCTACATATCTCCTTCACGAACGGGCTAAGCGGGCACCTTTTTCGTGTGGAGTTCTTCGTCACACCAAGGACAGCCGCAGCGTCCTCGTCACTTACCGTGAAGACGCAAAAGCGTACAACCTCTGAGGTTGCAGGTCGGACCACTAGTACATGGAAGAAATATACTACCCACACTTGATATCGCAACTTTTTTTGCGCAACATTGGATCTTCCTAGCCCCCACCTTTTGCCAAGATAACAAACATGACAAGTATGAAAACTTCCTGTGACCACTCAACAATGATGCCCCAGTCCAGACAGAACTTTCGATTTGCATTTATTTGCTTTGATGATCCGCGGTTTCTTATCAGTGTTTTGACAGACAGATGTGTCGGCAAAAAAAAGGGCTGACGCGCCTTCGGCATGGACACAAGTGAAGACAGTTGTCAGCTGCATGTGTGACAACGGTCCAAAGAAAATCTACAAATTCATCCTGCACTCATCTTCATCAGCCAGTTGGGCGAAAAAACACGAAGAAAACTGAAAGCACCATCATCCTTTTATATGGTCCGTATCCCACATAGTTCAACCCATCGTTCCGTGCCTCTAGCCAGATTAATCAGTGCAAAACTTGCCTGCGAGAATGAAAATGACCAGGACGTCACCAGCCACCACCGCTATCTCACTCATATGTACAAACTTTCTAGGGTTTTCAGAAAAAATCGAACATTTCACAGCCACGAAAATCAACACGGAATCTCTAATCCTTATTCTCAGTTCTTTTGGGACACGATTTTTGATTTCTGTGGCTGATTAGCTACTGTGTTACACTTTGCAGCGAAACTGTAAAGCTACCCATTCACTTCTCAGTGAACACCAAAACATTTTCACCAAAAACATTGCGAAGAGCTCGACCATATGTCAGTACTGCGCCACTGATTCGATGACAACAGCAAGAGTATGCGTTGTCAGGAGGGGCACACTGAGTATGAGCTCACCTTCGCGTGCCTTCTCTACCGCTAGTGATCGTTTGGAGAAGAAAACCGCCAGTGGCGATGAAGTAGCAAGTGGGCCCATTAAAGCTCTTTTGGAACCAGGGCACGCCATCGTTGTGATGATCACAACGGAGGGGTCGTATTTGACCGCGAACGAGAGGGGGGGGGGGGTAGTATTTTGTCTGAGAAAATTTTTTCATTGTTGATTTCTCTTGTTCACGGTGCTATAAGGGAGGGGGGGGGAGTCGTATTTGGTCATTGTTGAGAGAGAGAACTGCCAAAGATCTATACAACTACTATTTCCTGATAGTTGAAAATGATAGTTAAATCCTGATAACCACTCCCCCGCTTGATAGCAAAATTTTGGGGAAAAACCAGAAATTTTTCGGGAAAAAATGTAAATGGGTAGGAAGTTTTGAAAATCTAGGAAATTGGTAGGTAACATGGGGAGGGAGGGGGTCGAATTGGAAGATGGAGTTAGAGGGGAGGGGTCGTATTTTTCAGAAATGATCACAACGCGATGCCGTGCCCTGTTTAGAACAGCTCGGACTGATTGCAACGATATCAACTGTACGTGACTCTGGCTGCAATGCATAATTCGCCCTGACTGAGAAGTACCTCCACCCCTTGCTATACATCAGAAAGGCGCCCATGCAATGGTATTACTTAGGAACCCTCGAGTAAAACGGGAACCCTCGACATTGTTGTTTCCTGAGCTATTAGAACATACCATGTTGACAGAACTCTTCAGAATTCATCGCTTTCAACAGTAGTGATAACGCAGAAGCTCGACGGCTCATTTTTCAAACCTACTACTACTTAGGCCGTAGAAGTGAACTTTTGTGAGGAAACTTGTTTGGTATCGTCATTTTTCCTCTGACCCCAACTGAATCTAACCCGTCTTAGAGCTATTTTCGCTCACTCAGAAACATGTGTTCCTCGCTCTACTCTCCTCTTTCCCAGTATTTTCGATATTCCAGCCTCTCTATGCAGCCACTGAACCCCGCATAAGTCGTTGCCGATTCCGCCATTGTAGCGAACAATCGGCTCCGATGGGGCGCCTATTGATCATCTACGTCGATATGCGACGAAACTTTCTCTTCCGTTAGTGAAGAGTGTAACAAAGAAGCGACGCAATTGTTTCCAATCGGAACAAACCCGAATAATTTCGCTTTTTTGAAGTCATATGATACTAGTACCCAAGAGCGCCGAAGTACGGAACAACACGGTTGAGTCATCGCGTCATTGATGAGTCACAGCCGTCATGGGTGGGTATGCGCGCGAGCTCGCCCACGTAGTCGATATGAGATGTTACTCCCTATGTGTCACAAGGTAATTATAGCTTACTACTTACTAGGAATCTTGGCGATGTAGTAATGCGAGGTGGGAAAACTGCGCTAACTTTTGAATAAAGAAGCTAAAATTATCGCAGTATGCGGTACATTACTGCAGGAAATTGCTAGCTTAACAAGCACCTGCTATTTGGGCCCGTCTTACGTTGGGGAGAGGAGGAGGGATGCTCAGCTAAGAATCGCATTTTCGTACATACTTGGCCAATGGAGGGAGAAAGGAAGTCTTGAAAAAATGTTTTCAGCTGTCGAAATTTATTGTTTCCCCGTTTCACGAGCCGGGAAAATTCGCAGAACTTCTCCGGCGGACAGGTAGTAAGTTGGATGGGAGAAGGGGAAGAGGATACAACTAGAAAAAGGGATTTTGAGGGGAGAGGGGTCGTACTTTGCAAAATTTTTCCCCAACAGCAGGACGTGCCCTGCTTACTATTATTCACATTGTCATCAGCTCCATATCCCGGAGATAAGGGGTCCGTGGCTGCGCACGTCATGTAGACGTGGCGGCAGCTGCGCCTCTGGATGATAAAGTTGCAGCCATGACTTTTCTCAGTACAAGGAAGGATAACTCTTGTATCAAATGGAAATATCCCACGAACAGTGCACCCTACGCCATGTTCAAGTACGCAGCCACGCCCACTCCGTTGCTGGGATGTGTTATAAATAGGACTACAGAATTGCCTTTCTCTATAAGCAGTGCTCAGTGTAGCGCAGGGGAAAAAGCGATAACTGCTAAGGAACGAATAAAACGGTCAGTCCGCGGCAACATCAATATAACCATCCCGTCAGCATCAGAAAGCTAACTGATGGTGTCATAGTCCAAGTGTTCGCATAAGAACAACATGCTCAGAGCCTTGAAGCAGCTTCTGCGCCCGGGATAGTAGGTCAAAATGGGCGGAGATCTCACGCCTTGGCGCTACCATGCTCTCTCGTTGAATCAGTCTTCGCGAGACAGGTTTAAAGAACTAGCATGGAACCATCAAGGCGTGGGATCTCCGCCCAATTCCACACACTATCCCAGGGCTGAAGCTGCTCCATCGTTCTCAATGGGAAATCCTGCGCCTACTCAACAATCAGATGTTTGCCACGCGATCAATAATGTTTTCAGGCCACGGTTGCACTCAGGACAACAGTAAAAAGACTTCGCGATGAGGACGAAATCCGATTGACATGGATCCGGGTATTTGATCGTATCGATCTCGTTTGTCTAGTCACCTTTCAATTAATCAACGTTGTATGCTCCATATTGTTTATGCGGTAAAAAAAACAATACTCATCGATTTCTCTCGATTTTATCATTCATCCGCTCACACAATCAGATACACTCTTCAAGCGAAAAAAATCTTAAAATTTGAATGAAATAAATAAATACGAGTTAACACAGCTGGAGTGACAATCTTTTGCAGGGGTCACATCAAGTTTACAAATTAAACGGCTCGACGGAATAACATTCAGGCTGGGAACGGTGTATGTGCATAAGAACGAGATACACAACACGAATGATAAGGATGGTGAAACAATACACCCCGATGTGATACGAAACAGAAACATTTTGAAAAAGCACTACATGTAAAACGGGGATAGATATCAGCGGCCCTTGGGTTACCAGTACCAGGGTCGGGATATTTCTGGTAGAAACAAAGAGAGAGCATACATAATCACGAAAACTAGCAAAGACGAGAAAAAAAAACAGAATTAAATATTTCTGCTGTTCACAGCCAACGCCTACCGTAAACGAATATTCGAACACGAGCGGGATGACTCGATCAAGATAAACGGTATACGCTAAACGAAAGACGGAACAGACCTACAGAGAATTGCACCAAGCTACTTGAGTTGAGTTTCATTTATCCTCTGTTCTTCAGCTGGTTGCTCAACCAATCAAGACCCTCGTACAGACCATCTCCCGATGTTGCACAGGTAGCCTGAAATGATGGAAAAGCGACTTTCAAAACATTTTCTCTCATCCAATGATCTAAACAAGTGATATATTGCAGAAGCCTTCTGCGGCGCACTTCGGCGACGGGGGGGGGGGCATTTTACACCTCTATGCTTTACCAGTTCCGGTTTACTAGTCTCACTCTAGTGAAGCCTATGAACTCTTGTAAAGCTGGAGCAGCTCGTCAAGTCAAGCCAACATGGTTAAACCTGTCAACTCAAGAAAGGGCCATCTATATGGGTCGACACGTCGATGGGAAGTGGCAAAAGTGCAAAACTCCCCCTCGCCGTACTGCCCCTCCCCCCTCCTCCTACAGTAACTCCTTCAAGAACACTGGCTCAAAATAAAACTTCCTTTCATAACTAATAGTGAACGCCCACGATCTGTATTAAATACACTACTAAACCGAATGCGTGTATGAGGCGGGGTGGGGGAGGGGGACTGGGGCTGAAGTCCGCAATGTTGTGTCAGCACTAGAACAGTCTGCAATTTGTGAGGAGTGGGGGCGTTCGGGGAGGTGAGCCACCCTGCCTGCTATTCCAGCTCTCCACAAATAACAAGTGCCTCATTTAAACCGCCAACAGCTACAGGCTGAACTATCTCTAAGGCAATACCAACGTAAAAAAACTGCAGACAGGCAGTGCTTGGATCTTGAACCCCACGCCACCTAACGCATGATGTGCTCTTTTCTTGAATATTTGATTCCAGCAAAAGAAAATTCTCAAGCTCCACAAAGCCAAATGCAAAATTCACTTTATTCCATTTGATTTACAATGAATTCAAAGTACATAAGACTAATGTAATTCAGAGGCTTTACATTCAATACTCATCGTCCCCAGGACAAGTCTTGCCGCTAGGACGACCTCTCCCGAATTTTCTCCTTTGTTACACCTCCCCTCCCCTTGGAATTCCCCCAACGACAAACGATGGTGAAAAACTGACTATCAAAAAATTTTCTCGCACCAAACGCGCCCCCTCCCTCCACCGACCAAATACGACCCACTATCGCTGGGGATTCCCCAACGTACGACGCGCCCTGGCGACAGCACCGCCTCTCACACAAGTTCCCCCATTTTTTAACCACATCTTTTCAGTATGCATGTCACTCATTGAAAGTAACGGGACCTGAATGAAAAAGGTCAAATTCATCATGGTTGTAAAAGAAATTCATGGGAAAACTAATACGACCGGTTTTCGCTCACCATGTATTGGGAAAGGTCACCCACAATCTGTTGAGATGTCGTCATTGAACACCCTCCACACGATTAATGCCCGTTTGTGCTGGTTCTCGTATCCCATTTCAAAACTGTTCTGCACAGCAAACCACAGAAATTATTCTCCCAAGGCTTGAATCATGGTATTGCAATCACATGTCTTCCCCAAATTCAATACAAGCTCGGCTCTTTCCAAAACTTCGATGGAGCGACGTGAGTCTACCAAGCAAAAGTAAGAACCCTTTTCAAACATGAGTAGGGAATTCTTAGCGAATCGTCAGCGTGAATCCTTCACTACACGACTCCTACCCAAGAGACCCATTTTCAGGCCAGCTTCGAGCAAAATTCCGTTTCTAAGCACGGTACTGCCTCAGTGAAGCCCATCAAACACAGCTGTTGTTAGGGAATTTTCAGCATGTTTGGAAACTTTGTGCAACTGTTCTTTCGAAGATACTGACACATGGACTAGGCGTAACACAGTACCACGGTCATATGTTATTTATAGTGCAACAAAAATTTAATGCAGTGTTCAGAGCAAGTGAAAGGAACGACTGATAACTCGCCTGTATGTACCACGACCTGTTCCTCAAAGTGTGTAGACCTAGTTTATCTGTAACTTCAGCTGCGTTCATTGCATTTGGCAGATCCTGTAAAATCAAACAATTAACATTATGGATGCATAGCTGCGACAGTAACACTAGCACCAAACTATGACTAGGCTTGGTATGCCTGAAACCACAATTTCTTCAATTTAGCTAATGAACTTCAAAGTAGGGCCCAGAGGAGTCACTACAACCCTATATAGAAGAAACAGTGAATGACATAGTGCAATTGATTGGATGGTGCCATATCACTGAGCAAGGGAAACTTTAGAACCACTGCAACGGCCATGTATGATTTTTTTGGAAGATTCGTACATAGCTTCAATTCAGTTATACATCGATTACCCGATAACTGGTTTCAATGCCTTAATGCCAACTTTCGGGCTAAAATTGCAAGTTTAGAGCGACTAAAAAGTAAAAAAAAAACTAGCTGAGGACAACATTTTACGGATAACTATTTGCAGAGTTATCGTACTTGTCCACACTTAAGTAAACCTAAGAAGGACGTAAACTACGAAATCCAGGCAACATTGAGAAAAAAAAAGCGCGATGCTAGGATTAGTCAAGCATGACGCATTCTCCTGTCCTTTGTGAATGGAACGGAGTTCTTTGCATACGGATGCCATCACAACTAGAGGCACAGTCGAGCTAAATCGCATATAATCTCCTCTGGACTATTCAAAAGAGTAAAATACAGCGCTCACAACTGCGTCAATCCCCATCAAGGCGCGATTCAACTGTAGCACATGCACAACTCTCTCAATCGAAACCTTCCGACACCCAGCCCGCATGCTGCCTTCATGCAGCAGGCTCGAAAAGCTGTACAGAACTGTATTCGTAGCTTGGGTGCCGCGAGGTTACACAGTTAATTTTGGGCTGGGAAGCCCTTTGGCTCTGCCGACGCACCTATAATCACCTGTTGCCAGGGCACATCCTCGTTGGGATTCCCCAAGAGGGGCTCATATCTGGTCGCTGGGAGGAGGAGATGAGGGGGGAGGCGTAATCGTTTTGACAAAAAAAATTCTTGATAGTTGAATTTTCTTGTTTCAGGGGCGTGTTAAGAGGGGAGGGGGATCGTACCTTCTGGCCTTCTGAAAGTTCTGACAAGAGCTTTTGGCCTTTCGTGGTTTTTATCTGTTGTACTACATACACCCATCCCCGACGACAAAATTTTGGGAAATTCCGGAAGAAAAAACTGGAAGTTGGAAAAATCTAAGGAAGTGGTAGGTAGGATGAGAAGGGGTGGGGTCATACCAACCCCCTAAAAAAAGGGGGCTCCTACGAACTCGACAAAATCCGGAACCAATGACGTGATTGCCTGTTGCTCCGGAAGTGAATAAGCAGCAATGAGAATGGCCTCACCTGTTTGTTGGCGAAAACAAGTAGAACGGCATCCCTGAGTTCGTCCTCGGCAAGCATTCGCATAAGCTCTTCTCTAGCCTCTCCAACTCGTTCACGGTCATTAGAATCGACAACGAAAATAAGCCCTGCAATCGATTTTTAGAAGATATCATAAACATAACCAACATCGAGTAGTCGCACAAGTTGAAAACAGGTAAAAAATTCACTCAATAAAGGTCATGTGACGCAATCTGATAAGGACATACCCTGAGTATTTTGGAAGTAATGCCTCCACAGAGGTCTGATTTTATCTTGGCCTCCGACATCCCACACAGTGAAAGAAATATTCTTGTATTCAACAGTCTCGACATTGAAACCTAAATATTAGCACATTACGTTTGAGAAAACGACAAAGGACAAACAATAATGATTGATAGGAAACCGTTCGAACACTACAATTCGAAGAAAGCCCGACCTATAGTTGGGATAGTGGTGACGATCTCTCCGAGCTTCAACTTGTACAATATCGTCGTTTTACCAGCGGCATCCAATCCTACCATTAGGATTCGCATCTCCTTTTTGCCAAAAAGGCCTTTGAAAAGATTCCCGAAAATGTTACCCATCCTGAAAAAAAAACTCGGAATATCAGGTCTCAAAAGTAGCATAACCACGACGAGAACAAAGACCATCGAAGTGATTTGAATGGTGGAATGACGGGAATACGACAAAATTCAACCACCTTGTCTCAACGCACAGTTCTTTCCTAACGAAAACAATGCAAATAAATGGAACTATCAGGTTGTCAGCTTTCGAAGGGAACTAATCACCGTCAATATGCACTCCAAAAAGAAGAACGGTGGAAAATTTATGAACCAAAAATCTATACAAAACGTCTCACCACGTCAGCGCACACGCAGCCGCGCCGCGTGTCGATCCAAGACTGCTCCGCGACTACCTGCACATCTAAATTTGCAATGAACACACTGGCCAGACGAGTTAATTTAAAAACGGATTTCGCGTCCAGGACGGTTTTTCGTGTATTGGAGAGGTTTGAGTGGACGGTGCAGTTCGATGGAGGGGTATTCACTGCCTTGCATACGCTCTCATCCCAATGTAGTGATTGAACATCATGATATTGACCATAAGTTCGCTGACGGTGAGCATGTGATGAATCAATGTGGCTTTGGGCCGTGTTCGGAGTTGCGATAAAGAAAAATTCACGAGTGAAAGAAATGCAGAATTGGGAATCCGACGAAAAGCATAACATGCGTATCGATCGGAGGAAATGCAGAAATGAAGCGTTGCAGAAGTGCGGATTTGACGAGAAGGTTTAGATAAGGGAAATGGAAGAAGTCGATAAGTGTTTGTTTTGGTCATATCTGCATTCCCTCAGTTCTGCGTTTCTGCAGTTCTTCATTTCTGCATTTCTGTAATTCTTCAAAACTTCATATCCAAGGCTTTTCGCCGAGTCTTCAGTCATGCATTTCTTCATTTCGTTAGATCTTCACTGTCGCAAACTACGAGCGGCGTTATTACCTGGTGAAAGCGAGAAATCGTGCCGCGTTCATACATGACGACCTTGCAGAAATGACGGAAATGCAGATAGAGAAAAGAATAGGTGTCGATTTGAAAAACCGCGGAATAATGCACAAGTGCGAATTGCAGAAATGCCGAAACGAGATGGACAACGACTTGATAGGAATTGATCGCTCAACCCCATCAAAAATGCCGAAAGCAGAAATTGCAGAAATTTCGGCATTTCCGCAGATTTCGCATTTCTACATTTCTCCCAATCCCGCGGTTTTTCAAATCGATAGGCATACTTTCTTTCTCCTGCACGTTCTGCATTTCTCCCAGTTCCGCAGGTCTGCAAATTCCGCATTTGCACATTCCGTGTTCGGCATTTCTGCAGCATATATATGAACGCAGTATATGAAGGCGGCCTGACGAATGTGCGAACAAGATTAGATAGGGTTGACGAATGCGGAATTGGGGGGGGGCTGACTGGCGAGTCGTGAAGTGGTAAGAATCGACGAATTGCAGCGTATCGATCCGTAAAACTGGAGAAACGGCGAATCCTTGAGCGTTCATTTGTTTGTTATTAGCGTTTGCATTTGGGTTTCGATCGAAGGCTTGGAACTGATTACTCTCCCCACCTACTTTCAGCCTATATCACTGGGACGCGGTGGGCGTGGCTGTGCACTTCATTCGAACATGGCGTAGGATTGTTATTCGAAGGATATTTAAGTTCGAGGCAACTGTTATACTGTCTTATCATGGACACAGACGTCATTAGAACTGTCCCAAAACGGAAGTATCTCAGCGAAAATGCAGCTTGCCGCCCTGTCCAAGTGAAGCACGCAGCCACGCCCATCGCATCTCAGAGATCTGGAGTGTAGAAGCTCACTCTATGCTACTCCCTCATGCACTGCATTAACACAGCAGACCCATCACTGAACCAGTGGATAGGTTAGCTCGCGTAGACATGGAATACAGCACAGCGGCCCAGTCACGGAAGATCTGCTCTATTTCACGACAATTCTGGGATTTTGTAGCAGGATTATCGGCTCAATACATAACTCTACTGTTCTCTATAACAACATGGCCACAACCTCACAAGAATAACATATTAGGTTCTGGAATATTCTGGAATTTACTTCGGCATTATTTCCTTCGTTGAGTGTTCCTGTAGATTCTGGAACTTTGCACTATATAACCGTCGTGTAACTGTCAGCTGTATGCAAGTGTTTTTGGTTCACTTATTTGATTCAGATCATCATGAGAGAGGAGCCACCTTTGAACATCAAGCCAGAGGCACCGTTCAAACTTGGTTCAGGCAATGGAATTGATCCAATGTTGATTGGTTCACTTGGAATTCTATTATCCGCGTAAGTGTTTGAAGTAATGCATAACGGGTAAGAAATGGCGCGAGTCCAATACAAGTAGGCATTTTGGTGCAGATCTCTTGAGACATTAATTACAGTTCCCGCATTCAAGTACTATCGTGGTCGTCTTCCCCATACAAGTAGTCGAGCCTCCAACCTAACAGGCTGTCCCACTTTCGCGACTCCTCAGCGAGTGAGGAGTGTGCTACAGCCGCTGAAAGTTCTAGTTCTAACACCCGCTCAGTTGGACCGCCCACCCAACGTTTGTTCTCTCCACACCTAATGCAGGGGCGCTCAGATTGTAGTTTGTTGGAGCGGCGGGCATAAATTTGATCTGCGTGTCCATATTTTGCCGGTCGCGCCCGTGGGCACTATTCACCATTCCCAAAGACTCAAAAAAATCCCTGGTGAAACTTCACCCATAAGAGTAACTTGATGTCTTGATCACGAGTAAAATTTTCGTTCTTGACGCTGGCGCCATTTGGCGCCATTTGGCGCCACCACTTTTCTCACAAAAATCAGTGTAAACTTGCATACTGGGGTTATTCGGTACCCTGATCACGAACATGACATTAATTTCTAGCCCTGGCGCCATTGGGCGCTATCTTGACGCCACACCCATGTTCATCAAAATCGATAAAAACCTGCATAATAGGGTTGTTTGATGCCCTGATCGTGAATATGGCATTCATTTTTCGACACCAGCGCCATTAAGCGCTCTTCTAAGGCTGAGTCTACTGAACTAGGACAAGGTATGATTCTTTTCACGCCAGGCTCAGCCTTAGCAGAGCGCAGATGATCACAGTGTCTTCCATCAGCGCCAGCGCCAAAAATGAATGTGATATTTGTAATCAAGATGTCAAATAACCTCCGTATACAAGTTTTCAGCGGATTTGGTGATCTAGGTATTTGGCGCCGACGCCTGTAGCGCGGGTGCCAGGCGGTTTCAGGTCGACCATGTGATAACCCTGTGAGGAAGTCTAACTACTTCTGGGCACAAGATTCCAGCGAAATTCGGTGCTTCTGGGTTTTTAGCGCCGGCGCCCGTGGCGCGGGCGCCAGGCAGCTTTCAGGCTAAACGGATGTGATATTCGTGTTCAGGAGGTCGAATTACCCCTAGAACCCAACTTTCAGCCAAATCTGCCCCCGTAGAAAAAGTCGGTCAAACCGGGCCTGTTTCCGGAAGGTTGGAGTTGTAAAAGTTGGATGGTGCCCACCTGTGCTTATCAGTAATTTTACGCTCCTCTATCACTTTTTCGTCATTACATTGTCACATACAGCCAACAGCAATCCATCCCGCAAGATTTTGACTTGTTCAAATCACCAGTGATAATTTTTAATGCAAAACGACATGTATTGCTACCGCAGTCCTATTCGTACGCAGAGTTTTTGAAAGTTTCTTTCTAAGTTAACGAGCTTTGCGTCAGTGTTTTTGTTGTTTTTCGTTTCTTTTCTTTGCATTGGATGATATTTACTACTGGGAGATGCGAAAAAGCGATTTGTGAGCCAGGGGTTGCACAGAGACCGCAGGGCGGTGTGACTATCAGGGAGCGATTATATGGATTCTTGGAGACTCTTTTTGCTTTTTTCTTCTTTAGGAAATTAATTATCAGCTACTCGTTCATAGCAGAGCAGCAACTGTCTGTGACACTTAATCCTGGGAGCTATCTCTGAGAATAATTATGAACATTTTTGTTTTACTATAAACAGTTAGAAAAGCCTTTCCTGAGTTTGGAAGAAGAAGCTTTGAAACGGTTGGCATGTTACAGCGTCCTAGAAGGGGGACGTCCTGCTCCTGGGGAAAACTACGAACTTTTCTCGAACTAGACTGCCCTTCCCCTCTGAACTTCCTCTTTGGTACGATCCCCTTCCCTATCCCGCACCTCACCTACCGCCTTTCCAAATTCTTCCAACTTCTACCACTTCTCCAGAGTTTTTATTTTCTCGAACATTGCTTCTCTTTCCCACAAAAAAGCGCGTTGCGCGGTGGAAGTGGAGGAGGATATATGGCGCACATAAAACAGGAAAAATCGGGAAAAGTCACTAATCAAAAACATTTTTCTGCAAGGCAAATATGACTCCACTCGCTACCGGCTAATGCCGTTTGGACTCCA